TCTGTCTGTAGCCAATAAAGACTGTTGGTGCCACTAGTCAAAAAAAAAAAATTGTCTACGTATATGCTAAAATAATTTAAATTTACATTGAATGAAAATATTTGAGTATAAATAAATACCAATTTTATGACTATAAAAAGAAAACTGAGGAGGTTGGGGGGAGACTAGGAAGAGTGATGAAAAGTAATGAACAGGTGAAGGGAAGAACTGTCTGAGAGCAATACGTCGTGAGTAGGTACTTTTTTGTATGACGACAATCTGGAAGGAGAGCTGTATTGCCAAGTGGACAGGAAGGGGGTAGGGAGGGAAAGAGAGGAAAGTGCAACAATGTGGGAAGCCGAATATAGAATTTAATATTAATAAGAAACCAAATGCTATATCAGGATATGAGGGAGGCTTACTACAAGCTAGAATTCACCCTGTGGCACTAAGGCATTCCCTAAGAGTCAACATTGTCCTCAGTTTGTATTTACTGAATCCCTCCCTCCTGAGATACATATAAAGTAAACAATAGAGAGGAACTTGGCCTTATCTGCAAAAGACTTCTCCATGATCCCTTGCTTTTGTTTTCTACTCCCTTATGATTTTCCTTTGTTTACCTTCTTTATGATTCTTAATAAATACTCAGAGAGGCATGGCTTGAGGCCTTAAGTCATGGGAACTGCTGGCCCCCTGTTTTTTATGCTCTCTGTTCTATCTCATTCTTGGTTGTCTGTCTCATTACTAATAATTATAAAAATACTTTACCCTCGGTCTGCAACACAACAAAAATGAATAAAACCTTTTCTTAAATTCAACGTAATGTGGAAATTACTGGCTGTCATTAGTATCACACACATCACACTTAGAAAAGTAGAACATCAGCAAAAGAGGAAGGAAAGCCTCAGGTAGATGGATCAACACGGTGACGGCACACGGGGCTTGAGCATGATGGAGAACGAGGGTGGCACAGGACCAGGCAAGATCTCAGTCTACGGTTCTTGGAGTTGCTGGGAGCGGAAATGGATGTGATGGCTCCGAACATCAACAACAAGACGACCGGAGAGATTGTGAGGATGGCTGAAGACTGGGCGATGCTCTGTTGTATAACAGGTTGCTGCGAGTTGGAGTTGACTGAAATTACTTGTTATGCTTCAGAGAGTTGGACAATATCTAAGGAGGACAGAAGAATAGATGCCTTTGACTTGTGGTGCTGGAGAAGAGTCTTGAGCATACCATGTGTGGTAAGCCAAATATCAAATATTAATCTAAGTGTTAAACCGAATGCTTTACCCAGGATGTGAGGGAGGCACAAATACAAGCTGGAATTCCTCCTGAGACAGAACACAGGGGTCAAGTACTAAGGCAGACCTAAAGACGTCTTCACAATTCTTGGATTGTATTTACAAACCCCTCCCTCCGGAGTCAAGCTTAAGGTTGTCTATACAAAGAGCCTACCTTCATTTGTATGGAATACTCTTTGTGATTTGTTCCATGGCAATTTTCAATAAAGTTGCAGGTAAGCTAGGTTTGGGGCTTCCATCTTCCATCTGTTTGCCCTCTGCCTTTATGCTCTCTGTTTCTTCTCCATCATTGGTGTCCCCATCTCCTTTATCCTCAGCCAAGGTTGGCAACAACCATGGACAATCAAGGAAACAAATATGTCTGTCTTGGAGAGGGTGAAACCAAGTTTCTCCTTGGAAGCAAAGGTTTTGAAGCCCATCTCACATACTTTGGGCACATGGCCAGGTGAGACCAGGAGAAGGACATCATGCTTGGAAGGGTGGAGGGACAGTGCAGGAGAGGAAGACCCTAGATGAGATGGATTGATACAGTGACTGGGACAAATAGGGACTGGTGTGTCGGAATTAGACTGGCTCAGGATAGGACAGGGTTCAGAGCTGCTGAACATACGGTCTCTATGGGTCACAGGCGACTTGACAGCACATAACAACAACAACATGCCACCTAACATATTGTTATATTAAAATGTGCTTGTCAGATATAAAAGCAAGAAATTTCACGGAAAAAAAAGTAGTGGAGATCCAGTGTCAGAGTGACCTCATGCTAGAAAGCTGCCTACAGAGCTGAGTAAGCTGCTGCCACCTGAGAGCTGGGCCTCTTAGTGGCCTGGCTACAAAAAAAAGAAACTTTGAGAGGTGAGCAAACTGCTTGCTGTTTTGGCTGTGAACTGGGCCAGCTGGAGAGTCTGCAGGCAGATCACCTAATGGCAGAGTGTCTAATAGAGTGGTCGGCGGCCAAGTGCTGTTAGTGCAGCAGCATCTGAGAACTGTGTGTGCTCCATTAGACACAGTCTGGGCGACCTAGTGCCAGAGGTCGAATGGTGGAGGGGGCTGTGTTAGAAGTAGCCACCCTGCACTGAAGCAGGGAAAAATGTGCTGCTTATTTTGAATGCCTTTCCTCAACTCCCTGATGCTTCTCCTAACTTGTTCCTGTTGTTTCCAAGTTATTCCTGATTCCAAATTGTAGCCTGTTATTCCTTCCTAAACCACATAAATTAATCTAGTCAGTGTGACTATCAAAGTAGCAATCCCCACAAAGTGGAAAGTACTGTGGGAGAATGGCAGTGGTCGGCAATGGTCAGCAATGGTGATGAAGTTACCAGGAATACCTGACTTCCACCTCTTGTTGTTGTTGTTCAGGGCCACAGAATCAACTTCTTGTCACAGCAACCACTGTTCTGACCCTTGCCCTGGCCTGCCCCAGCCTCAGAATCTCTCATATACTCAAGTCATTGTTGCAGTCACTGTGTCAGTCATCCTGTTGAGGGTCTCCTCACTGACCCTCCACCTTTCCTGGTATGAAGTCTCTTTCCAAGGACCCTCCTGACAACAAATTGAGAGAGACACAGTTTCACCATCCTTGCCTCCAAGGAGCACCCTGTTGCACTTCCTCCATGACAGATTGATTCCTTTGACAGTCCGTGCAATACTCAGTAATCGTAACTGACATTATAGCTTTCTTTAAGCACTTTGGAGAGGTCCATGAAGGCAGATTTCCCCAGTATAACACATCTTTTCATTTCTTGATTATTACTACCATGGGTGTTGATTTTGACTGCAAATAAAATTAAATCACTGAAAGTTTCACTTTGCACAAGGTCACAAACTGTAGCCTTCAATATGGTTTAAAGCTCAACATGAAGAAAACAAAGACTCTCACCACTGGGCCAATTGGAGGCATCATGACAGATGAAGAAGAGATTGATATTGTTAACAATTTCAGCTTGCTAGGTTCCACAGTCATCACTCTTGGCACCAGCAATCAGGAAATCAAAACAAAATTGCGTTAGGAAAATCTGCGGTCTGTGACCTCAACAGAGTGCTGAAGGACAACGATATCAGGCCATGGTCTTTGTAAGTACTTGCTAGGCATCACAGAGCTGGACAATGACCAGGTAACAGAAGAGTTGATGTCCTTGAGTTGTGGTGCTGGAGAACAGTATTGAACATAGACTGCCAAGAGAGCTAACAGATATGTCTTGGAGAGGGTGAAACCAAGCTACTCTTTTTTTTTTTTTTCAAGCTACTCTTTGGAAGCAAAAATTTTGAGGCTCAGTCTGATGTACTTTAGGCGTGTTCCCAGGAGGGACCAGTCCTGGAAGAAGGACATCATGATTAGAAGTGTGGAGGGACAGCACAGGAAAGAAAGCCCTCAGATGAGTTGTATTGAGACAGTAACCAGGGTAGTAAGGGTAGGTGTAAAATTGGCTCAATAGAGAGCAGGATTCAGATCTATTGTGCATAGATAGGGTCATTATGTGTCATCGTCAACTCAATGGCATATAACAACAACAATCATAATGTTGTCTATTGATCCAGTGGTGAGAAATGCTGTATATAGTCATTGATCTTCTGCAGTAAGTGCTTCAATTCTTCCTTTTCTATAAGCAAGGTTGTGTCATTTGCATAATGTAGGTTTTTCATGAGTCTTCCCCCAACCCTGGTTTCACATTCTTCTTCATACAGTCCAGCTTCTCAAATTACTTGCTCAGCATACGGATTAAAAAAGGAGAAAGGATACACCCCTGACATACCTTCGCTGATTTTAAACCAGACACTTTTCCCTTGTTCTGTGTGACTGACTGCTTCTTGATCTAGAAATAGTTTTCACTTGGGGAGATTTTCATTCAGGAAATCATGCAAAGAGAAAACAGAATTCTCTTGCATTACAACATAGACTTCTGGGTTCAAGACTTGAACAAGGCTTGAGTTTATTTCTGCTTGCAGATGTTGAATAGTGTATTAATCTTTCTGCAGTTTGGCCTTTTCCCTCAAAAAAATGGCCCTCTCACACAGAGGTGGTTTTTCCCACCACACAAGTAAGTGTCAAAATAGTGCCTTCCTTTTGTGTCTCATGCAGTCAAATGATATTAACCATTGTGGTAGTGTTCCATCCAGTCCATTTTCCACTCCTTATGACATCAAGGGAGTGCTGGTGGCCTAGAGAGTACAGTGTTAAGCTGCCATCCAAAAGGCAGGGGGTTCAAGTCCTCTAGTTTCTCCAAGAGAGACAGTTGGGCAAGCTCCTTTCCTTAGATTTATATTCTTTGAAAACCCATTAGAGAGAGACTCAGCTATGAGTTCACTCTAACTGGACAACAATGAGTTGAGATTTTATTATTTTTTCTCTCATGACCCTGTGTCAGAGAGTACATCTGCCCTATAATTTCGGAAGTTGTGACCTTTGTGAGCACATCACAGATCCTTAGGAATAAAGGGGAAGGGCTGTCCGGATTTGAAGCACTAATCTGCACTAGCATGTGAGTGCGTAACCATTCACTGCAGCCCAGGGCTCCTTACACTAACCACTGTCCTTTCAGTCACGTAGAGTTTGGGTCGGTGGGGCTGACCCCATTACCACAGTCACTGTGGCCGTGAACCTGGCCCGCCCCTTGGTTCCCAGCACTTCCGCTCAGGCGTGCGCGCGCGCGCGCGCACGTTTGCTTCTGGGAAATGTAGTCCGTGGCCTTTGTGGGATGACGGGTTCTTCCGCTGCAGGAGTGGGAGGTTCCTGCCATTTTTTTCCCCCTCGAAGGATGGTCGTACCTCCTGTATCTCGACCCCTTTGCAAACTTTTTGGATTTGCGCGTGGGACGTGTGACGACCGGGCCACCTGGTGAGTGGAAAGAAGTCGCGGTGCACATGGAGGTCTGAGAGGTGAGCCTGGTGGTTGGCGTTCCCCTCGCGGAGACTTATAAATTTTGGGGGCGATGTGCAGATTGTCAGTTTGGGGGACTGTTTCAGGTCGTGCCTGATTTTATTCGAGCATTTCCCGGGCTGGCAGCTACTCCATCCGCTTCCCATTGCTCCTCGATTCCGATTTTTTTCCTGCATCGTGCGCCTCTGTGAAAAGGAGATGTTAGTAGTTTCATGCCGAGTCAAATGCGTGGCTTCCAACCGGGACCTCAGCAGGTCAGCTCGAGAAAAGAGACCAGGATCTGTCTGCTCTAGGAAAGTTTGCATTCTAGAAAACCCATCGGGCCACTTGTATCCAGCCCTAAAGGGGCGCTCTGGGTCAGAATCGATCCCACCGCAAACAAATATTCCATCGGAGAGCTGCCCTGGCAATTCAAGGCAGAAGACCTCGAGGGAGTCTTGTCTCCCAGGGAGCTGTCGGGTGGCCGATTACAACCGACCTTTGGTTGATAGCACAGTTCCCGTCTACTCGGCCAACAGAGCTCCCTAGAGAAATGGAAAAGGTTTTATACATTTTAAAAGTCTTAAAACCACTCCTGACACAGTGGATCTCATTGTTCCACGTCAAAATCCGATGGCTGAGGAGTTCATTCGGACTCCGTGCGACGTAGTGGTTGTGCTGATGTTATGCGTTGCCCAGTGGGAACCCACTCAAGGTGATCTGCCCATCGCCTGGGTTTGCAGCGGTACTTCCTTACCACGGAACTGCCAAAGCTCCTTTCCAGAGAGGCGACGGGTGCCCTGATAAAGCAGATTAGGTCTTTTTTCAGGCTCTTTGGTGTAAGACGTATATTAAGCTAAATAAAGTTGAGCACAGATTTTAAGCGTGCTCAGATGTAAGTTATCTTTGTCCTTTTTCCTTGGAAAGACAATTCCTGGCAGTTGACCTTTCCTGAGCAGTTAAGGTTTTTTGTTGTTGTGGTTTGTTGTTTTTTTGTGCTTTTTTTTTTTTAACCATCAACAGTACCTGCAGAACTGTGCAAATAAAGGTGTTGACCAGACTAAGGACCATACTAGCAAATCTCAGAACAGAACTAATCTTTAGGTAGGAAGTTGCACTGCCACCTCACAGGTAGGTGGTTTGAATCCACCAGCTGCTCTGGGGCAGAAAAATGGGCATTCTCTTCTAATGGGATTTGCAGCCTCTGAAAACACACTGAAGAGTGCTGAGCGGCTTCCAATTCAATGACGAGAGAATCTTGAGATTCAAATAATAACCATAAAAAAACCTCCACCTCATTGCTGTTTGTTGTGTCACTGTAAAATGTTTTGTGTGGACACCTTAACCACGACTAAAAGAAATGACCCTCTCACCCTTCTGGTTTGCTTAAACCTTCCTGGTTTGCCTAAACTGAAGGAATTTCCAGTGTGCATGTAGATGAATTGCAGATAGGAACCCAGAAGCTTTTCATTTCTTTATGTATTTTTTTGGCTCAGAATTGGGGTCGTAATAACCAGAGCTCCAACTGCAGTAGTTCTGGGGTTGTGTGGGAAGCTGGGTGCTCATGGATACCATCTGACCTCTTAGGGAAAAGTGTATTATTTCTTCTAGTGGTTAGAGTTGGGGAATGAACTGTGGTTTAGAGGAAGTCATGTGATGCAGGGATTGTAATGACTGGCCTTTTTTCTCCCCTCAGCCCCCACTTCTCCCGGACAGCATGGAGATAACTCCAGGGCTGCTGGCAGAAGAGCGCCAGGTGAGTAGACCGGCTTTCTTCTTTTACAGAGATTTCCATGTATATTACAGAGTGTCACACATGTACTCTGGCCTGAGTTAAGACTTAGTATCTAAGTACCCTTCTAAGAGTGTTCTACAAATTAATTCTGTCAAAGAGAATAATTAATAACCGACTCTTAATTTGATTGTAAGGTTTTCTTCCTCACAAAATCAAACATTCGTTGTAAAGAAATTCCTTACCAAATTTAATTCTGCCCATGACTTTTCTTTTGGCCATGATTGCTAATCTTTCCTGTTGTGAATGAAGCCTGTTGTGGAATTTTGGAAGGTGGGGAAGGTGGGTGGAAGGTCTGAAACCACTGTAACACTTTGTCATATGATCTCAGCTTTGTTCTCTTGGTTAAGGTGCAGTTTTTCCACTGGAAGGTAATTGTTTTCCCTTTTATAGAGAATACCTTTTGGGAGATGTATATTTGGGCATTCTGCTTTAAAGAGCAGTCCCTGAAGAAAGACATCGTGCTTGGTTAAGGAAAAGGTTGTCAGAAAAGAGAAAGACTCAGCAAGATGGGATTCAAACAGTAACAGCAACAGTGAATGGACTTAAGCACAGCAGAATTTGTGAGATTGACACAGGATCAAGCAGTGTTTCCTGCTGCAACTTGGAGCTGACAGTGGCACCTTACAACAACTCTAAAGATCAGCTTCTCCTCTCTTTATTTATTCAGATATAAATTTTATATCTGAATTTTATAGCACAGAGTTCACTCTGAGTCGTAATCGACTCTGGTATATAATCACAATGGACTTAGAGCCTGTTCTTGTTTTCCATTTGGAGCCTTTATAATGAATGCTGCTACAAACATATTCATGTTGTTGTTATGTGCTGTCGAGTCAGACCCACAAGAGTATATATCATACAGGAGGAGATTCTCCTGCAGAGCTGCTAGTGGAGTCAAGCCTCAAGTCTCCTTTCAGTTAGTAGCGTGGTTCTGCACGGCTCCAGCAGGTGGTCAGGATCTACACGCTGATGCACGGCAGAAGCTGAGGCAGTCAGCTACTGTGAAGAATCACAGGTGTGGTCCTGAGCTCCCTTCTTCTCTGCCCAGTTGAGTTGGTATGAACCAGAATCAACTGGATGGCAGTGAATTGGTTTGGTTGTTGGTGTGTTTTTATATATTGACCCTAGAACTGTATCTTATTCCATATATCATATTTTCTCAACTTCTGATGTAATAGAATCACAGTTGCTTCCTTGAAGGCCACAAGGCAACACTGATGACAGGGTGGTAACTGTATGTGGCCGTGCAGTGTGTGTTCACAGAGCCTGGGCTCAGAGAGGACAAGGACATCTGGTTTCTTTGTCATTGAACCCCATGCAGCTTCAGCCAGCCTGGTAACAGACCTGGTGGCTAACTCCTGACATGCATCCATGACAGGGAGCACCATCCTTGGCAACTTTTTTAATCTGCGTCTTGTCTTTTCTAGTTCGGCCTCCCCAGAATTATACACATCTCAGCACAGAAGGCGGGAAGAAAACTGAGCTTGGTGAGTGGAGCTCCCCCATATGCTCTTAAAATTCCTTCTTACCAGTCAGATTGGTGACATCCTGCTGGGAAAGGTAGAGAAAGGGTCAGTATACAAAAGGAAGACCCTCAAGGAGATAGATTGGCACAGTGAGGACAATGGGCTTGAGCATAAGAGAGAAGATGATGAGGCTGGAGGGTCAGGGCAGGGTTCAGGCCTGGGTTCATAGGGTCACTGTGAGTCATAGTTGACTTGGTGTTACCTAACAGCAACAATCAGACTACACACTGAATTTTCTTTTATTAGTGGGGTCTTAAGGAGAACAGCAGGCACTGTGTACCTGTTGTTTGCCAGGTGCTTGCTTTGTGTAATTTTAGATATACAAATAAGTTTTCTATGTTGGCTTGTGTTTTTGCTATATTTTTAGATTTATATTATTATTTT